TGTACCTGAAGGCACATTGTAATAAAAAATGGTAAACAATAAATATATTTCTATTTATATTCAAAATCAAATCACAAACATAAAGAAAAGATAAAAGAATTTAAGTATCGGTTTGTAGTGAGGGTGAGAGGTGGTGGGCGACAGTGATGATGTTAGGAGAAGGTGATAGTTGTGGCGGATGACAATGTCCGTGGTGACGGTGGTGATGGCGGTGATGGTGGTGGCGGAGGTGGGGGAGATGGTGGCAGCGATGGCAGCGACAGTAGTGGTGGTGGCAATATTGGCGACGGTGGTGGTGGTGGTGACGACTGCAGTGGCGATAATGGCAACGGCGACAGTAGAGGGTGGGGGTGGTGGTGGTTTCAAACACTATTATTTTTTTTAAAATATTTATGAAAAATAATTTTTAGAAGTATTTTTAAAAAATTAATCCAAATACACCCTTAGAGGCCTATTTTTTCTATTAAATTTAGGGTGTTAATATTAGCCGTTAGATTAACTTTAAAATAAAATTAAAGCGATGTAACCGCGAATAACAAAAGTCATTTTGTTTATCTTTTAAAATTTGAATTGTGTGTTACAAGTGCACAAATGTTAAGAGGTGTATGAGTAATATTCTAAATGTGAATGAGTCCAAATGATTAAGTGATAAACATGAGGGGATTTAGGTATAATTTATTTATTTAGTTTTAGATGGTAAACTAACGACCGTTAATTTCATGTGCGTATTGATACAAATTTTTATCTTTATTTTTCAGGTGTTTTTTCTTCTATTAGCTATCCGTTATATTTTTTTTCCTTGCACTCATTTTCCACAAGCCAAAAAAAATACTAAAAATAAATTTTTACTTCCATAAAATGTCAGGTTGTGTCAAGAAATTATCAGAGTAATACTTTTGAAACTTAAAAAAATAATCTAATTTAATGATTTAATAAGAGCATCTTCAATTATGATTCAATTTTTTACTCAAATTTAAGTTATTATTTGAGTAAAAAGTTTGATTTGATGCAAAAGACTCCAATGGACATATTCAAATTTAAAGAAAGAAAAACTTAAATTTAAATGAGGGTAAACTTAAAATTAAATGAGAGTAAAAATGACCATTGAATCTTTAAAAGAGGTTGAAATCTCACCATTAAAGATTTGGGTAAGGATTTGAATTTTCCTTATTTGAGTAAAAAAAAAAGAGTCTTCCTTAATTTAGTATAAGTTTGAGTAAGAGTTTGAGCAAATTTTTAAATTTTTTTTACTCAAATTTAAATTTGAGTCTAAATTAGAGATACCCTAATATAGCACTGATGTGGTCCAATAGAATTGTTGTTATGGTAACTGTTGAATTTTTTCATCAAGGCCGGCCCAACGGTGTAACTGAAAAAGCAGTTTAGGTCCAAACTACAAAGAAGGTCCCATATTTTCTAATGTATAGTGTAATCAAACCTAAGTTTCTAAATACGCGACAATATAAACTCCACAAAAAACCTCAATAAAATGTACATCTTACAATAGTTGATCTAAAAAATACAGCACACACATTTTGTTGCAACCATCAAAACTCAATGTAGTAAAACAAAGACAGTAAAAGCAAAACTCTCCTCTCTCTCTCTCACACACACGCTCACTCTCTTACATCTCCAATTAAATTCAAACAAAACTCTCATTCTCTCATACACATAACTTTTCATCTTAAATCATACACCAAATTAAACCCAGATAATATAACTTACTTAATTTTGTAAACTTTGATCAAGAAAGAACTAAAATATCAAATTCTAATGTTGCAAATAATCGTGACAAATCAAACATTATTGTTTTTATATTTTTTATAATTTTAAGCTCATGTTATATTCCATAATTATAGATACCATATGGTTATTAAGAACTAATTTAATTTTTTTTGAACTAATTTGTTGATTATGTATTATAAATATGGCAACTCGAAAATAATTATCTGGATATAAAAAATCTTTCTAAAAAATGAGAAAATTTTAATATAATTGAATCTCAAAAATAATCTCTTTATTTTTGCTACCAAACAAACGTGATAGAAATATAAGTTAAAGTTCTACAAATAAACAACTAATAGATCTCAATGAATAAGAAATAATAAAATAATACAAAAAAATATTCACAATTAGAGTTAAACATGCAAAATATACAAAAAAAAAATGAGAAAATATTAGTAACAAAAATTTTAAAATTAATAAAGTTTAACTTAAAGTCGATCATATCACAAGAAAGGATAAGAGAATGTCGCTATACAGACAATTGAAAAAAGTTTAATTTACAAATGTCGCTTTAAGTCTCAAATTTTTTTAAATCGCCCCTATTTTTCATTAAAACTCTGTCACTTATCACATCATTATATCAACAAATTAAGTTAATTTTTTTCCTTTCTTTTATTCACCCGGTTGGAGTATGTATCTCGGCGGTGTATCTCATCTCTAATCAACTTCTCCCTCATTTAATGAAACTCACCTACTCGTTTTACTTTCTTGACAAGTGCATGTGTGTGTATTATGGGTATAGCTACAGGTGGTCCATGAGACCATCTTATTAATAAATTGACAAGTACATGATAAGTGAATTAAATAGTGTCTTGTTAAACTCTGTTCATCACCGGCTGCAAAACATAAAGCTCGCTCTTACAATGACCAATTGCGATGTTTGTTTTGTTTTTCAAATCTTTCAGAAAAACAAGTTTGAATCTTCTCAAAGTCCCATATTTTTTTATGGGTGTGGAGACGATTGTTTGGATTGTAGCAAAGAGTAGGGTTTCATATTGAACAAGCTGATCGATCGTCTTTGGATTTTTCCAGCACTTGAGATCATCGAGAGTTTTTCATTCTTGTTTACAATTTTCAAAATAAAATATTATGCATGAAATCTATAAAAAATATCAATAATTGCACATGGAATAAACTTTTGGCAAAATCCCCAATTTGCATTTTTCTCTACTATAAGTGATCATCGATTGTTATTCAATTAGTTTTTAACATAAATATTTAGTATATGTATGTGTCACATTATGAAGTCATGCTATGATAAATTGAAATATACATGTGATATGTATCTCAACGTTCTACCTATACAGCTCAATTGAATGAAGTCACTTTATGCGATAAAAATATGAATGAATTTGTCAATCTTTGAACATTGTAAGACTAGAAATTATTCTCTCTCAAAAATTAGAATGCATTATGAGTGGTTGTGATTTCTACAAACACCCAATTTTATAATTGAAAAACCCTAATTTGTACAAAAAAAATTTAAAATGGTTTTTCTTCTCAACATATAATGCATGGTCGACTATGGTGTTGTTGTTTGGTACATAATAAAAAGCCTTGAAAAATGAGAAGAAATAGAAGAAAAGTAGACATCTGCACAATTGAGAGTTTTTCGGGTAGAAGTAGTGTCAATGTTCCTGAACCATCGAACTACTTGGAATGAAGAAGATTTCAAAAAACGAAAAGAATTGAAGAAAACAGTTGTGGACAAATGATTGAAAATTTCATATGTATTTGTGGACCTTCAACAAAATATTAACGAAATGTAACTTATGATTATTATCTTACATATTGTTCAACTAATTAGTGTTGTTTTCGTATGAATTGGATCACTTGTTGGATTGTGTTTATAGAGTGACAACATAGCATGCCAACATTGGTTGAAGGACTTGGACACTAAAACTACAAAAACACATTTTTTTTTTATAGTGACAAGATAGAGTGATAATATTGTATAATGGGTTGACCATTATAATTACACACACTCATTCATTTGCTTTTCATAGAGTGACAACATGGCGTGCCAACATTGGTTAAAGGGCTTGGACACTACAATTACACACACACTCGTTTATTTTTAATAGAGTGACAACATAGTGTGATGACATTGGTTGAAGGGCTTTGACACTAAAATTATAAAACACACTCACTTGTTTTTTTGATAGAGTGACAACATTAGTATAATAGTTTGGTCACCACAATTATACATACACATTTGTTTGATTTTCATATAGTGACAATGTAACGTGACAATACTAATGGGCCTTTGGTCCAGTAGTTCTACTTACTTTGTAAAAATTTTGTCTTCTTAAAGTCAATAGTTCAAGTCTCCTTTCCCCCTCTCCATCCCTCTACCTCTCCCCCTCCTCCTCCCCCAAAAAAAAATATAGCGTGACAATATTGGTTAGAGGGTTTGGACACTAAAACTACAACACACTCACTTGTTTTTTGATAGGGTGGCAAGAGAGTGACACAATTGGTATAATGGCTTGGCTACTACAATTACACACTCATTTGTTTTTAATAGAGTGGCAAGCCAAAAATGAAATATTTGTGACAGTTACTTAAAAACTATATTACCTAAACAAAAATTGAACAATAACATGACTTATCAAAATGATAATAATAGATAGAAATAATATACAATAATAAAAAAATAAATGAAAATAAACGTCATGAATAATGCCTTTAATTTCTGTGTGAGAATTGAAGAAAGTTGCGTGACTTCGTTTATCACGTAATTCTTTCTTGACATTTATCAGAATATAAATGTTGTTGACATTTATGGAAACAAAATCAAGTTAATGGCTTATTAGAGAAGAGAAAATTCGGTGGTTGATTGAAGAAGAGAAAATTTGTCAATGGCTGATTGGAGAAGAAAAAATTAGTTGGCTAGCAAAAATCTTGAGTATCATTTCAAAATTCAAATGGTTTTTTAATTCCTTAATTTAGGAAGCTTCCAGATTCAAAAAATAAGGAAACTGTCATGTCAAATCTAATATGCATGAATTATGAAAAGGACCATTATTTAATACAAAAATATGTAAAATTGTAATGTCTACCCAATCACCAAATATTTTGGAGCATGAGAACTTAATGACTAAAAAGTCTGAGCTATATATTTTACGACAAATAAGTACTCTAGAGGATAGCCCGAAGTAGGAAAAAGACAAAATTATATATTGCAATACACTAAACTTGTAGCTTGAGATTGATTATAGAGGTTCATGAGATATCCACCTTTTGAACATAGCTGCACATTCGTCGGGATTATACTCTGGAGCTGTGTGGCCTCCTCCCTATAAGAAGAATGCGTCAATTTTGACAAAAAGCAGCCAAATGAGGGAAAATAATCTTTAGCTTTCTCAAATTTAAATGTGAAGTGGTTTCTTACCTTCACTGTTGCAAATGTCATCTTATTGGAGTAAACCCTCGTATAACTGCACATTGCCAATGACAATTTTCTCAATACTCAGGTATTCTAAAAACCATATAGTGTAGTTCAATGTATAAGATTTTTGTCGGTGCAGATTCGAGTTATTTTTATAACTCGAATTTTTGACGCTCATATTACAATATAATTACCTTACTACAATTCCAAAACTCACCCTCAATCTCAAGATGATATATCAAAGAAAAAAAAAATGGATACTCACCCAGCAATTTGGCCATTGAATAACCAAGATCGCCAGTCTTCAATAATTGGGTAGTTTAGAGATCTTATCCATGCTTGGGTGGATTGGTATGGAACATTCATGTCATGGTCACCGCTGTGTCAACCAAAAAAAAAACCTTTACTATATGCAATTATTTACAGATTTGTGTGTGTGTGTCTCTCAACTTTTGGATAAAATATAGCACACATCTTATTGAATGAAATATAGTAATATGACCTGTATATCAGAGATCGGTAACCTTTAGTACTGAGATTTATGTGATAAGGTATACTGTCCCAAATCAAAGTGATATCATAAGATAAATTAGAGGCGCATCTCTCCCATTTCCCTATGCTTCCCTGTGTTCAAAGAATTTCATTTCATAGTACAGTTCTAACACTAAATATGATTTTCAAAAGTAATGATATGGACCTACCTTTCGGATATGGAGTGCTTCTTGGACATTTTTGTCATTACACCAATAATAAGAAAGCTTATATCCATCAATCTACAGCCATGGAAGATATAGTTGAAGAAGCAATTGCATTATTTTCATGAAATAATCCACAGTGACCTCTCTTCAAGTCTCAGAGTGATGGGAGTCTCATATTATAGGGTTAAGAAAAATAACGGTAATATATCCGTTTTAAATAGGTATGTATCTGGTCCAATATTTTGAAGTTTCATTCATACGAGTGTAGTCCTCAAGAGGATAATTCAAATTACAAACATGTTCTCTTGTTATCTCCATATTCAAATGCCCCATCAAAATTAATTCAAAGACAATTGTATATCCATATTTTAAGCCCCAAAACGAAAGATAAAAGAACATACAGAGAAGAATTATGGGCATAACTCAAATAATTCTTCATATCTCAAGGGCAGCTGTGGTTAGAATATTAACTTGCAACTTTCAAATGCCTCATTAAGTAAAACGAACTGATTCAATTTAAATGTCTTCAGCTCCAACAAGAACAATATAACAAAATGTAACAAAGAAAAAAAAAAAAGACTTTGCAATTAATCTTCAAATTGGCTTAAGCTAAATGGGCATTCCTCACTCATCAAAATGTTCATGCAAGTATATTTTCAAAGGATTTATGAAAACTTACACGACAGTAAAATGCGGAAACAGATGATTTAGGATTGTGGAGCTCTGTGATTCTCTCATCAAGAGATCTCCTCCTCCTACTATACCATTTTTGCGGCCTTGGGGGCTCAGGACCACAGTTGGGTTGCAAAATATGATAAGTATCAATTCCACTAGTACACTGCAAATGTGCTTAATAAAGTTTGATCAACAAGGAGTTTACTCTGAAGAAAGTAATGAAAGGGTTTGCAAAAATAAAAACATGAGTCAACCTGATCAAAAGCTTCAACAAATCGGATACACTCTGTATTGCTTGGATCTGCATTAAAATACTTTCCTTCACAACTCCTCTTAAGCGACTGTTGAAAGGAAAGAAGACATAGTCCATTCAATTTCATAGCCAGTGAAGTTAACAACATTCCTACACAATCTCTGAGATAGTTGTGTAGGAGAGGGAAAGGATTTTATAACACTAACCTCGTAGAGTTCATCCGAAATAAGTCCCATTCCATGAGCAAATGGGATCTGAAAGTTGTTTTCATATGGAAATGTTGCAGCGTTTCCAAGCATGTATCCCTAAAACCATTTCAAAAAGGTTAAGCGAAAAGCCTATTCAAACACTAGTTTCTCAAAATAAAGAAGGATTTCAAGAATAGCAAACCTGGAGATTAACAAATGGTTCAATGCCTGCTTCATTTCCTGCATAACAACAAGATTACAGTTTACCAAACATAAAGTAGAGTTATAATTTAGACACCATTCTTAGTAGTCTTACCATTTGAAATTAGTTGAGTGATAATTGGAATAGTTATTCCAGTGTACGATTCTCCCCCCACATAGAATGGGTTTGAAAAGAATTCAGGATGATCAATCAACCACTATAAGAAAAAAAATTGGTATTTAGTTGAGAATTACGTTGCATTATTCTATTTATAGGCACAAGTAGGAGGATTTGCATGAATAAATATATCTGGACCTCAAACCTTCATGTCTATCATTAAGAAGATACAGTAAGTTTAAACCATATTAAAGGAATAGTTCACAAAGTACCTTTCTTAGAAATTCATAGGCTTGGTGGCATGATTGAATGTCTGTAGACCCAGAAGCAAGTGGAGTCCTTCCATAGGAGAATCCACTACCAACGGGCAAATCTACAAAAATTATGCTTGCCACCTGAGGATTTCATTGTGACAAAAAAAAAAACTGAGGATTTAATTGCCCTGGACCATCCAAATTCAGATCAGTTGCTATGATAACAATTGCTTAATATGTTATCTGGTGCAAACGACTTTCGTCTACAACTGAGTATAAGAAATTAATACTAAAATATCTTTTCTCATTCTCGAAAGACCGATAATCTTGTACTAAGCAAAGCAATATGTTTCGACCGCCTTAACTATATAACCTTTATTTTATATTAGATTCAGATTCTTTGATAATGAACGTTAGCCACACAATTATTATGTCACTTTATTTTATCTCAAAATTCAATGACACCAACATAATAGACTTTTTGTCTTTGAGCTAGGTAGCGTAACATTAATTCAGGACAATTTGAAAAACATAATAGTTGAGATCGGGACCATAGTTAACAAAGTGTAATTCGCCATGACATGTATAGACTTGACCTTGGTCCATGAATTTGCATTTAACACCAACGTGGGCAAGCTCCCATTATACTCCACTGCCTCGAAATACAGCGGACCTGCACAGTTAGATTAATAAACAACCTGATCATATCAACTACTATAATACACAGGACACTTGATGGACTCCATCCAATGAAAATCAAGATGAGGTTCGAATTTGTGACCTTAAAGTTTAACTACAGAGGCAGCGGTGACCATTAGACAATGCACCAACCTCTTCAATTTAACCACTAAGAATACATAAATTCGGATATGGCCCAATGTTTCTTCCTTTTATAGCCAATATTTGACCAAAATATACTATCTTGAACCATATGAAATCTATCACTGTAGACGGAAGCAGAACATGAGAAACAATGATGTTCCACAATGTGAGATAAAAGCATAACTGAGGTGTCAAAGTACTATTTCCAAAGATTAATCAGTCACATCCTTGTATGAATATTAGTTTCTTTGTAAAATGTCCTGTCCTGTGAGATTATTTAACAAAATTACCTATTTCGTAGATGAATCCACTTAAAGCAGAGCAGCCGTGGCCTCCGTTGAGCCAAAGAATGAGAGGGTCTTCTTTAGGATTTCTTTCCGACTTCACAAAGTAGTAGAAGAGTTGGACATCTTCTGATTCATCCACCCCTACATACCTGGTACACTTGGCATGATAAAATTTTATGTGCCGTTTTGTAATTTTTTTTTTTTTTTAACTTTTTGAAGTAAAATACCAATTCCCCCCCCCCCCCCCCCCCCAAAAAAAAATGAAAGTATGTTCAATTACTATTCTGAAAAAAGTGATTTCGATTTATCATTATATGAAATAATATGTTTATATATGTATCGAAGCATGAATAGGACTCAAAGTTCGTGAATTCATCTATCTCAAATGCGAAAAAGCAGAATAAAAAAAGAGTCAATTGAGCTAAAAAATGTTATACCTAAAATTTTACTCAAATCAAGGGAGATTCAACCCTTTACTTATATCATCAATGATTAGATTTCATTTTTTTTTTATTTAAATCTAATGATTATATTTTATTCTCTTTTAAATTTGATTTTGTTTTCATTTAAATTTAGATTTTGTTTTCTTTCATCTTTGAGTTTACCCATTGATGATGTTTTGCATCAAATCAATAATTTTACTTAAATTTGAGTGAAAAATTGAATCAAGATTGAGATGAACTAAGAGCTCTAGTGGGCAATGACACTATTACTTTATTTATACTAGTTGACTAACAAGTTTGCAACTCTATGTTGATAGGTAAAAGGAAAATCCCGGAAGAAGAATACTTCAACTATTCCCATAAAAAGGGACAAATCAAATGCTGAATCTACTCTTACAAGGGGAAAAAAAAAGGAAATAAAATGAAAAAATAAACATTACTAAAAAAAAATAAAAAAATTAATACCAAATAGTAACTTTTTTTTTTTTTTGATCAAGACCAAATAGTACCTTAATCGATGAAAATATTACTGCATAAAAACTGAGAAGTAACACAGCAAAGATGAAAATATTACTGCATAAAAACTGAGAAGTAACACAGCAAAGAAATAGGATGTCCTACTGAGCCTGACTCACCCGGTTTCGAGTTGAAAAGGAAGGGGTCCTTGAAATCCTGGAAGAAACTCCACTCTTGAGTGAGAAACTGAAGGGTCTGAGTATGAACAGACTTGTGAAATTTGAATAACCAAAAACAGAGTGCAGAGAATTAAAGTGTGCTCGGTGGCCTTTGAATGTGATAATGCCATTTTCTTTGCCATGGTATGTGTTTAAACTTTAATGGAAGCAAGTTTATGTATTGGACGGTTGGCTCCAAAGTCTTTGACCGGTGGATTTTCCGAGATCTCCAAGATTTCCAGCGCACTCCATCTTTCACGAACAACGACATAAATTAAAGAACGAAAAAAATATTGTATACACCATCGTTGACGAATAAATAGATTAAAGAACAAGAAAATATTACATAGTTTGTAGGTATCAAAGTGACACTCACATGCAGTGTTTTAAAACTCGATCCGGTCCGGTGGGTTAATCCGGTGAACCGGTCCTTAAATTGGGCCGGATCTATTAAAAGATCGTTTATGTATGAAACCTAGGATAAACCTGATGAACCGGCTAAAACTCGATAAACTCGTGAGAATCGAACGAATTCAGAAAATCGGCCGATTTAATTACATTTCTATAAAATTGAGATTTTTTTTTAACTTTTGGGCATTTCCCCTTTTGTTTTGCCCTAAATCGTTCCACACCAGCGGTCCAGATTAGCAACCACAGCCTCCACTCCACCACTCCAGCAACGATCAGCCAACGACCAACCTCCACTCCAATGAGTTTCCCTCTCTCTCTTTTTCCCCTTTTTTCTCTGTCTCTTTTGCGCTTCAATCCATGAAGGGAAGGTTGGGGATTCAAGTGGAAAGGTTGTATCCATCATGGATTGGTGGGTGGAACCATGTATCTCAAAGAAGATTAACATTTAGAAACTATATTGTTCTTTGGACTATTTCAGAAGGCTGAAAATGCCACCATGTAATTTGAGAATTTTTGATGCAGAAGTAGGTGTAGGAAAATCTTGCTACTATCATACAATGTCAATATTTGTAAGATGAGCAAATAATTAGGAAATTGAACAATTTTTGTGTTGGTTGTCCTGTACGATCTATGGGAGCAGGCATAGAGGAGGGCCATGACCTTTTGTTTATAAAAAAAAAATTTACATGCAATCCCTTGAAATTGTATACCTTGGCCTACACAAAGGATTTGTCATTTTGAGAATCCTCCTGATCTTGTGGACACTCGAAATGAGAAATGTAATTAGGGAGGTGTTGACAATGTAACTACAAGTAATGCTGAAAAATTCAATTGTCCCGGAGTTGAGAATCCTCCTGAGTTTGGCAGGGATTAGAGTTCATAGAGTAGGAGCCCTCGTTGAGAAAAAGAGAATGAATAGATTTGTTTATTACATTACTTTTATGATGAGTTTTTACTTTTATGAACATTGTTATTTAATATTTGAGGTTTTGTACTTGTAACTTATGGATTGTGGTATTGTACTTTTCATTTGTGTGTTTTATGCTTGTTTAAGATTGTGAACTTGTGGATTATTTATTATGGTAAGAGCATTATGAATTATGATATTGAACTTGTGGCTTGTTCGAGATTCTTATTGTTTATTATATATAATTGGGTTATAGATTAATTAATTGATAGTAGTGGTAATATTTGTATTTTTAAGTGAAACTACGCTGTGGTTGAATAATTTATTTTCAGTTTCGTTTATTTGAGTTTTTATGTTATGCTCGTGTGCTTTATTTTGTTTTCATGTGTCTTTCTTACTACAGTTTGAGAGTATGAAGTTTGAACTTTGAATTTTAAAGAGTACAAATTACATGGATTATGCTTAGATTGATACATTGTGGAAGAGTTGGACTGAGACTTGGAGCCTTGAATTTCAATATAAGTATTTTTCTCTACTTAATTTTACATGTTGTATTGAAAATTGAATACATTGAAATTGGATACATATTTGATGATTTTTCTCTACTTAACTTTATATGTTTGATGTTATTTTTATAATTATTGTGATTTTTTTAACTTATTTATTATTATTTATAATTATTTATTATTTATTATTATATTACCGGTCCGATCAGTGATCCAACGGTTGAACCAGTGATCTATTGATCCGGTCCCTTCACCGGATTAATGTCCAAATTTTAAAACTATGCTGACATGTGGTACTCGACACTAATAATAAATTGGGCACGAATGCAATTATGTGACTGATGAAGGAGATTCTCGGACTGTTGTTCATGCAGCCATGCTAAACATTATTACACCAAATTGGTCCACTGCGACGATTATACGAGATCTTAAAGTAGTGGTGGTACTGAACTGAACCACTGGGAATGGAGTATGAACCATGTGTATAGGACTGCCAACAATGCTGCACATTCATTGAAACTGATGGAATACCTAAGCAAATTCCATAGTTCCCTTTAACAATTTTTCAGCTTGCAGATATTGAATTCTTGCACACGAGTTTTGGTCACAAGCTAATTTCAGTAGAAAGATGATGGCCAAGGGCTTAAATTGTTGCCAGTGTTTATCCGTCCGCTTTCCAATATATGATGGATTCGAGTCCGAGAATTATCAGTTTTGTTTTATTTTCTTTACCCGGTTGAGTATCTCGGTGGTGCATCTCATCTCTAGACAAGTGCTCCCTCATTTAATGCCACTCACCTTACTCGTTTTACTTTCTAGACAAGTGCATGTGTGTGTGTTGCATGCGTAGATCTACAGGTGGTCCATGTTTTTTTATTTAACAAAATTGGAACAATAGTATACAAAAATTACTTTTTGATATACATTTGAATCGTGACGGCCACCAACCACTAGCTCCATCCAATAAAAGAAAATAATTCATGAACATGGACTCTTGCAATGACATTTGTCATCCATAGACTCTAGAAAATAGTTTTGGACACCATACCATTCGTAGACGAGCAACGTTATTGTGACTTAATTTAGTGATTTAATTTGCTGGCATAATTTACTATAACTTTTAAATTAATTATGGATTTCATCAAATATTAGAACTTGGTGTTTATCCAATAATTTTAATGAAGTCACGTCATTAGGTCAACAAATTATATCTATTTTTTAGGTCCAAATAACATTTTCTTTTTTAGACTTAAAGAAAAATATAAAGCAACCAAACAAATGAAGATACCATCTCATCATACAACCAAATAACACATCTTCCAATGATTATCAACTCCGACAATGTTGTACGAATCATGTTATATTTGCTTGTTTGGTAGATAGTGTTAAAAACTATAACATCTTCAAAACAATCATAATCTAATTTTGATTAACGATTCTTCCAAAAAAAAAAAGTCAGGCATTCGATTCTCCTCGTCAACTTGTACAGGTAAAAAAATTTTGCTCGATCACTTGATTGTGCTTAAAATAATTTATTAAACTCTGTCATCACCGGATGCAAAACACAATGCTCGCTCTTAATCTGACCAATTGCAATGTTTGTATGTATTGGAGCGAATAGAATACACATTTTGCTAATCTCGAAAATATTATGTCCTTGAGTAATGTTAGACTGATCAAAATTTGGGACCAAATTTAGAGTCTAAATAACATAATAGTTGATTATTTGAAGTATTTATTGGAGCCCAAATGACATGACACCAATGAAATATAAATGACAGGTTGTCTTTAATGGGCTTATAAATGATCCAACAATAAAAGAAATATCTGTTTTTTGAAACCGTAAGATCATATAAATTGGGGGTACTGAACATATAATTTACAATTAAAAAAAAATGAAGTTGGGAATCAAAAATCACTTTTATATAATCTTTGCATCAAATTTCTTCCCATTTGGAAAATTAGTTGTTCAATTCAACTCATCATTATCTTGTCGCAGTTACTTGGGAGTAAAGTGTTTTTGTAAAGAGAAATAGTGAATAGAGTGTTTAATGATTTGTTTGGCATGATTGAAAAGTGAATGGATGAAAAGTCTGTAGCCCATGATTGACCCAAGAAGTAGGCTTGGTTGTATCTGGCCCATTGAAATACTGGACCAGATCCGACCATAGTCATTTTCTGGAAAAAAATATTCATTACAACGGTGATAGCATGTTAATATTGTCATGTTGTATCACTAATTAATAATATGTAGACAAATAAGGAAGTAGGTTCCGCACAAGCCAATAATTATCCATCCATGACCCTTAATCCTAAATGTTCCATAAATTTATGTTTTGTCTTGAAATGTAATTCTTGGCCAAATTCCAGCATCATCGAATAGGATGCGAATTCAGAATTCTGATTAAAAAAAATAAAGAATGTGCGACATTGGCATCCCGACATTTTCATTTGTTTTATTTGTTAGTCCCAACATACATTAGCATGCAATGTCACTTGAGAATGTTCCAACTAGTCATTCAAATTTCGGTTTATGTCTACAGTTGCTAAAATGGACAAAATATAGAAATATTTTTGAAAGTACTTTTTATATTTGAAGGACTTTTACTGAAGTAAGAATACAACAAAACTATCTGTTGCAATACTCTGAACTTCGAGCTTGAGATTGATTACAGAGGTTCATGAGATATCCACCTTTTGAACATAGCTGCACATTCTTCGGGTTTATACTCTGGAGCTGTGTGGCCTCCTCCCTAAAAGAAGAATGCGTCAATTCTCACAAAAAGAAGTCAAAAGGGGAAAAAAATCTTATCTTTCTCAAACTTAAAAAGAGAAGTGATTTCTTGCCTTCACTGTTGCAAATGTCATCTTATTGGAGTAAACCCTCGTATAGCTGCACATTGCCAATGACAAAATTTCCATTACTCAGCTATTCTAAAAAACATAATCTCATAAAGTGTAGTTCAATGTATGAGATTTTTGTCTTTGTGGGTGGTGAGATATGCATAGTTTTTACTTACATATGAAGAAACTATTTTCGTAACTTGAATTTCTATCACTCAAATTACATATAATAACCTAACAACTACGCCAAAATTCACCATTGATCATAAGATATATCAAAGAATTTTTTTTTGAATACCCACCCGGCAATTTGGCCATTGAATAACCAAGATCGCCATTCTTCAATAACTGGGTAGTTTAGAGATCTTATCCATGCTTGTGTGGACTGGAATGGAATAATCATGTCGTGATCACCGCTGTATCAACAAACAAAAACTTCACTATATATAATTATCTACATGCG